GAAGCCTCTCACTGCCCCTGAGTCTCTGGCCTGTACCCCAGTTCTGTATGCACAAATAAATAAATCTAAAAAAAAAAAAAAAAAAAAGTGAGTGAGAGCTCTCCCTGGTGGCACAATGGGTTAAAGCACCACATTCCAAAGCTCTCCCAAGCCATGCAGCACAAGTCTATCCCCAGCCAAGGAGCTGACCCACATGGTGTGGCAGACCTCTTCTGACCCACTCACTGCTCCCCTCAGCAATGTGTTTCAGTAGATGTGTCTGTTCTGCTCCACAGTCTGTTTCTGGTGAATCTTCTCACCTACCACACCTCTGGCCTTTACCCAATTCTGTAAGCAAAAATAAATCTTAAAAAAAAAAAAAAAAAGGAGTGAAAGCATGTTAGTGCAAGGACCTAGATGTAGCTAGAGGGCAGAACAGGGCTGGATAATGGGTGCTACTCTCCATACCACATGCTGTGGGCAGAACTGCAAGGACCAGACCCCCATTAACATCTTGTAATGAAGGAGAAATTGCCTGAAAATACAAGTGCATTTTCTGAGTATGCACTGGCATATTAAATTAAAAAACCAAATGATATGCCAAATTACATAAAGAGCCATGTGAATGTTTTCTTCCTTTCCCATTATTTAAAGTTGTTTTTAACTGGGGCTATCATTCATGATCAACATTTTAATTGCTTTGCTGGAAAAAAAAGCTTTAGGAACACAAAGGATAGGTTTAATATCCTTCTTTTTTTCCCCCAGTCTACTTTGAAGAACTTTATTTAAATATTTAACACATTAGGCCATTTAAATACATTCTTTTTGTTTTCCAAAAACAGTTCATCTTCCCTTCTCAAACTTGTGCCCCTTAACTTCTATCAAAATCTTCATTTTTCCTTCAAGACAACTATTCTGTGCAGGTATTATTATCATGCCTAATTTGTATCTGTGAAACCTGAGATTCAGAGGTTTTAAGTAATGTGTACTCACAAATTAGTAGAAATAGGATCTGCTGTTATCTTCACATGACATTGACTACTCTCCTAGCTTGGAAATATAGGCCACTTAACTAATTACTTTTACATTCTCCTCACATTTCCACTCATAATTTAGGAAATGATCCCAAGTTGTATTTAGAACATGACTAAATGATATGACATAAAAGGCAGTAGAGAAGATAAAGCTACTGCTGAGAGCAGCCCAGGTACTGGAAACCACCATTCTTAATTTGTTGATTGACCACACACTATCTACAGAAATTTTACTCAGTGAAAGACACTACTGTACATATCCATTCACAAGGCATTTCTTCCATTTTTGGAATGTTTCCAAATCAATGGTGAGGAAAAATTCCCTAAAATATTTATACATAGCCAGAGCATAGGGGACCAGGATTGGGAGGGGAAGCAATTGTAATAAAGAAAAAATGAACAACTATAGAACAGTGACATTTTGCAAGGGTGGATAGGAAAATGGCCTTAAAAATAGGGTGGGAAAGCTGCATGAGACTATGATGGTGGCACATGGGTGAAGCAGTGTTGGGAAGTCCATGGGGATTACAACCGAGATGGAAAAAGACACAAAATAAAGAATGATGTAAAAATAAATTTAAAATGAAGGGGAATACTGGATTAAAAAAATATTTATACTTAAAACTAATATATAAATATCATAAGAGCAGTCCTAAAGATTCTAAAGGAATTAAAATGACTTTCCTCCATTTTATGAATTCAAAAATATTGCATCTTGCCCATAAATTAAGCCTTCTTTGCAATATACTATATGGTTAAAATTCACCTAGTTGATAGGTAACATTTCCTTCCTTATAAGCAATATAGTGGGTTTCATGTTTTTAAAATAATTTGAAAAATAACAACATCCATAATGTGATTTAAGGGGTCAAAAACACAATTCATGATGTGCAGTTTTCTGCACCTATTGAAAAGAAGGTATTGCCAATCATGCCCTGGTTATAATGTTCCAAAACTAGAAAAAAAATCATACATATTATAGAACTCATTGATATCATTCATCTTTATGTAGATTTTCTATTTGTAAATGAGTCAACTGTTTATAAAACTTCACAAACTATATAGTGAAAGCAAATAATAGTATTTAGTTAAATAAATCAGATATTTCTATACATACATGCCAGTTAGGTCACCGAAGCCCACATTTTCCTTGTCAAGATACCTGTACTGAACAGAGCGCTTCTTTGGAGATTCTTTCGTGGATTCCCCAAATTCTCTTCTATGCCGGCAGTCTGTTGGGGAAAATGCACTCATATGAACATCATGGGAAATGGGCACCACTTTCTTGTGTATGTTACCAATTATTTCTTTAATGAGAACAGCTTGAGTGCACACACATGTTTGTATGTGTATATGCCTGAGAATTAAGTAAAAAACTTCCAATTATTTTCTTTTCTTATATAACTAAAGCTGCTATGGTTTATGTATCAATTATAACTCAAGAAAAAATAACTAAATTGGCCCTCCCTGGTGGCGCAGCGGGTTAAAGCACAGTACTGAGAATCTAAACCTCCTTCCGCATGAGTTCGATTCCCGCCTGTCCTGGAGGAGACCACATGGCGTGCCAGACCTCTCCTGACCCGCCCGCTGCTCCCCTCAGCAGTGTACTTCGTCGATCTGCCTATTCTGTTCCCCACTCTGTCTCCGGTGAAGCCTTTCGCCACCCCTGAGCCTCTAGCCTGTACCCAGTTCTGTATGCATAAATAAATAAATCTTTAAAAAAAAATAACTAAATTAAGAATATTTAAACGGTGAGTTTTATGTTATACTTTTACCACCATTAAAAACCATTAAAAACATAAATGTCCTGGCCCTCCCTGGTGGCGTAGTGGGTTAAAGCACAGCAGTAAGAAGCTAAAGTCACTTCAGCATGAGTTCGATCTCTGCTTTCCCTGGAGGTGACTACATGGCTTGGCAGACCTCTCCTGACCAACCCACTGCTCCCCTCAGCAGTGTGTTTCCTTGACCTGCCTGTTCTGCTCCCCACTGTCTTGGATGAAGCCTCTCACCACCCCACACCTCTGGCCTGTACCCCAGTTCTATATGCACAAATAAATAAATCTTTAAAAAAAATAAATGTTCCATGAAAATATTTTTGTGAATAAATATACAAATTTGAAAAATGCTCCCTAAATTTTAAAGAAAAACAACTCAATCTATAAGATTGTTAAAGATAAAATATTTATATGGTGATCCAAAGGTAAAGGAGAATTGTTAATACTAGTGGGGAAAAAAGACTAAAAATGGAAAATGATAACAATCCCAGATGATGTTACTCTGCCTTTAAATTTAGAAAATTTGCATAGGGCAGCATATATTGGAAGGAATGGATCACGCTATAGCTTTTGGTAAGGGACAATTAGCATATTATTTCTTAATAAAAGGCATGTGAAAACAGTTTAGTAGTCACTTTAACATGTATAACTTAACTTCAATAGCAATATTCTTTATCATGGATTGCTAAAGCAATGTGAAGATAAAGTAAATGGCTGTTATTCATCATTTTCCTTGATAACACCTTTACATTTTGTTTAATCTTGTCCTAGTTTTCAATGAAAGTCAGTCATATGTTGCATTGAAAAAAAATAAGAGTATTGAAAAGAGAAAGAGAAAGGATTGTTTTTAGGGATGACTTAAATAGTCAGAAAGAGGGAAAAATCCAAAAATAAAAAAAGAGAACAAATGAATTAAAAATCTTCGCACAGTAAAAACCAACCAACCAAAACAAGCAAAAAACACAAAAAGCCCTACTATTAAAATGAGAAGACACCCTGCTAAATGGACAAAAATATGTGTATATCATGTATTTGACAGGAGTAATATCCAATATCTACAAGGAACTCATACAACTTAGTAATAAGAAAGAAAAAAAGTCAAGAAATAAGCAGTAGAGTTAAATGGATATTTCTATATGAAGACACACAGATAAACAAATGCACGTGAAAAAAAAATGAGTTTCATTACTTATCAAGGAAATATAAATAAAAACCACAATAAGATATCACCTCACACCTGTGAAAATGGTTCATATCTAAAACCTAGAAACACAAAGTGTTGGTGAGTGTGTGGAGGAAAAGGAACCCATGTGTAGTCCTGTTAATGTAGATTGGTCCAACAGCAAAAAATTATTTACCATATGACTCAGCAACAAGTCTTTACCTGAAGAATACACAAAACCACTAATTCCAATGGATACAAGCACCCCTATGCCCATTGTAGCAGTATCTTCAATAGCCAATTATGGAAACAATTTCAGTACCAGTAAATGAATTAGGAATATGTGATCTATACGTGCAATGAAATATTACTTAGATATGAAAAATAAAAAAGGTGAATTCTGGGCCCTCCCTGGTGGCACAATGGGTTAAAGCACTGTACTAAGAATCAAAAGCTACTTCCGCATGAGTTTGATCCCTGCCTGCCTCCGAGGCGTGGTAGACCTCTCCTGACCCGCCCGCTGCTCCCCTCAGCAGTGTACTTCGTCGATCTGCCTGTTCTGCTTTCCACTCTGTCTCTGGTGAAGCTTCTCACCCTCCGTATCTCTGGACTGCACCCCAGTTCTGTATGAATAAATGAATAAATCTTAAAAAAAAGATGAATTCTTGTTATTTGTCACAACACGGATAGAACTAGAAGCAATAATGCTAAGTAAATCAGTTACGAGGAAGACAAATATCTGATGGTGTCACTCATATGTAAAATATAGAGAAATGAAGCAAAGGGTTAAACAAAATCAAACAAAAATAAATGTTAGAAACTTTACTGTTGACACTACAAAGAGTGTGCAGTTTGGAGAGCAGGGTGTGCTAGGGTTCAACAGACTAGAGTGGAGGACTTTGGGTGCCACAGTGTGGGTATGGTATAGTAACACATCTGAAGAGTAATCCTAAATTTCTGAATCATATACAATCTTGTAAGCCAATGTTACTTCAATTAATGCATAGAGAAAGCATAAAATAAAAAGATAAAATATTAACTATAGGGCTCTCCCTGGTGGCACAACCCATTAAAGCACCACATTATGAAGCTCTCCTAAACCACTGCAGCATGAGTTTGATTGCTGGCTAGGGAGCTGACCCACATGGTGAGGCAGACCTCTCCTGACCTACTGGCTGTTCCGCTCAGCAGTGTATTTCAGTCTATCTGCCTGTTCTGCTTCCCACTCTGTCTCTCGTGAATCCTCTCACCCATCAAACCTCTGGCCTATCCTCGAGTTCTGTAAGCATAAATAAGTAAATCTTATTTTTTTTTAAAGCAACCATAAAAAATCTATTTCCTAATAAAATTGGATTTTTAATCCAGAAATATCAATAATTCTTAATATAAACATTTTTTTCAATTTTATGTTAATATTAAAGGGGATATATCTACTGAAAAGTTATTGTGGCAGTAAAAAACAATATTTTGCTATAAACAATAAAACTGTAACAGGATGGTCTCCAGGGAAAGAGGAGGTCCCAGGTTTCCTGCTTTTTTAAGGAAGTATGGAGAGGCACAGGGAGAGGCGAAGTTGGAGAGGAGGCTGGGAGAAGCAAGGAAGGAAGATGGAGAGCCAGAAGGCTTGGAGGAGCACATGGAGCAAGGACACATGGGAAGTAGCTGAACTTGTTTCTCTGCACCAGGACTCAGGGGACATAGAAGGAGACACTTGAAACAGGCATGAGTAGTTCGGCCATGGCAGCCTTTACATTGATTTTGATGTTGCTTTTTTCCTTCCTGACTTGTCTGGCCATTTTTACCTCTTTCCTATGGGTCTCCACCAAAAGGTGACTTAGACTTGTGGAAAGTTTTGGGGCCTCAGTGGTCCTGCTTTGGGCTAACTATTTAGCTAGGCACTTGTCCATGAGAGGATGAGTAACTTTGGTGCTTGTTTTGAAAATGTTATCTTTCCTTTCTCTTCTCTTTATTGCACACTAATTGTATGAAAGCTCCTTCCCACTCAAGGTCTTGCACACTAGAATACATTTTGTCTTGAGGTAGATGGCAAAACCTACTCAGAGAAGGCAGGTTTAAGGGTTCTGGGGAGCACCTCACTCTGCCCAAAAGCAAAATATTTCTTACTGATGACCAAGTTGTGATATAACAAGATTCCCAAACTTCTGCAATGTCATAGATTGCAAAATGTCAAATGCTGTATTTGAATATAGATTATGCCCTCAGAACTTTTGAGAGATTATTTTCAAATGAATGTTTTATATAAATGAAGTACATATTATCAGTTGACTTTGATCCTGTTTTGTATTACTTCAGCAATATTTAATAGTTTTATTCCTGCTGTGAGGGGTATTTACACTTGGGTTTTGATAAGCTTTCCAAATAATAAACTATGTACTAGTAAAACCGAGGGTGGGGCCCTCCCTGGTGGTGCAGCGGGTTAAAGCACAGCACTAAGAAGCTAAAGACACTTCTGCATGAGTCCCATCCCTGCCTGCCCTGGAGGTGACCACATGGTGCAGCAGACCTCTTTTGACCGTCCCGCTGCTCCCCTCAGCAGTGTACTTTGTGGATCTGCCTGTTCTACTCCCCACTCTTTCTCTGGTGAATCCTCTCACCCTTTGCATCTCTGGCCTGTACTCCAGTTCTGTATGAATAAATAAATAAATCTTAAAAAAAAAAAAAGACCAGGAGATGCCCTTAAGCTGTTTTTATTAAAAATATCAACAAATGGCCCTCCCTGGTGGCGCAGCGGGTTAAAGCACAGCACTGAGAATCTAAAGCCGCTTCTGCATGAGTTCAATTCCCGCCTACCCCGGAGGTGACCACATGGTGTGGCAGACCTCTCTTGACCCGCCCGCTGCTCCTCTCAGCAGTGTACTTCGTTGATCTGCCTGTTCTGTTCCCTACTCTGTCTCTGGTGAAGCCTTTCACTGCCCCTGAGCCTCTGGCCTGCACCCCAGTTCTATATGCACAAATAAATAAATTTTTGAAAAAAAAAAAAAAGCAACAAATGGCCTTCCTGGTGGCGCAGTGGGTTAAAGCACAGCACTGAGAAGCTAAAGCCACTTCCACATGAGTTTGATTCCCGCCTGGAGGTGACCACATGGCCTAGCAGACCTCTCCTGACCTGCCCGCTGCTCCCCTCAGCAGTGTACTTCGTTCATCTGCCTCTTCTGCTCCCCACTCTGTGTCTGGTGAAGCCTCTGGCCTGTACCCCAGTTCTGTATGCACAAATAAATAAATCTTTAAAAAAAAAAGCAACTACCTGCCTTCTTAGCGCAGTATACAGCATGTC